AGCCAGGCCGCCAGGCCATGGTGCGAGCGGTTGCGGCGGTGCGTGGCCTGGAGGGACAGGGGTGATGGATCCGGCCCCCCAGGGACCCCCCAGTCCCCCATACCCCCCAGGCCCCGGGGGTCTCACCTTGGGGGTACGGCTCTCAGGCAGGATCATGGACCTGGTATAGCTGAGCCGCCCCAGCCGGCCTCGGCTCCCCTCTCCTGCCAGCTGCAGAGGAGCTTCTGGGGGGCTCTCTGGGGGGGTATCTGGGGGGATCTCTGAGCAGGCATCTTTGCTGCTGGGATCTGCGGGCACCAGGCTCTGCCGGGGAAGAGAGTTCAGCTCAGCCTGTGGCTCCCAGGTGCCCTCTCCACCAGTGCACCTCACTCCTGACCCACAGCCCCCCCAACGGGTGCCCGCCCTGCCAGTGCACCCTGCACCCAGCTCCCCAGCAGAGCAATTAGCACAGAACCAGCCAGCACCTGGTGGGCAGCCTGGGAGCCAGTGACCAGGCAGGTTGGGGAGGGGGCTGTCACATGCCAGAAGAGGGGGCACTACATGTGTGAGTCCACAGGACAGGTGTGCGCAGTCTGGTCTGGGGATGCTTCTGTGCACTTGTGATCACACACACACACGTGCACCCAGGAGCAGTAGCTTGCACACTCATGTGATCCCACATATGTATGCACACAGGAGCAATACATTGTTACATGCATACAGGATCCCATGTGTGTGTACATGGGGGGTGGCTTGCATGCACTCATGCTAATACACGAGTGTGCATATGGGGTGGTACACTATATGCACATGCAATCACCTGGGCATGTTCACATGGGTGCAGTGACTTGCATGCACATGGGATCACATGTGTGTGCACAGGGACTGTCCACTGCATGCATGTGTGATCACATGTGTGTGTGCATATGGGACAATGGCTTGCATGCACTTGTGCATGCGTCCAGGCCAGCAGCCCAATCCCTGTGCTGGGGGGGGTCACCCCAGCCTCCCTTCCCCCAAAGCTAGGGGGCCCGCAACCCCCACCCCATGCCCACCGGTTCACGGTGGCGCCGGGGTGGCTTCCAGGACTTGTCACCCGTCTGGCGGTTGTAGAAGTAGCAGCGCCCAGAGTCCGGGTCAAAGTGCCGCTCCCAAGCATCCAGCACCTGCAGTGGGGGGCACCCGGGGCTGGGGGTGGGGGGGTCACCCTGTGGCCGCTGCAGCTCCGCCAGGTTGTAGTACAGCGGGGAGGGCTCCATGGCGGAGGGGGGGGGCAGCGGCCGGGGCAGTTACCTGTGGGCCCCAAATCCTGCCCTCCCACCAGCCACTCCCTCACAAGGGGCCCCTGACAGCAAGGTGCTGCAGGTCGGGAGTGCGGGGCACCGGCAGGGCTGGGAGGGCAGGGGGCTGTGGGTCAGGAGTGAGGGGCACTGGCAGGGCTGGGCTGGCAGGGGGCTGTGGCTCGGGAGTGAGGGGCACTGGCAGGGCATTGATCTGGTCTAAACCAGTGACTCCAGCCCTGCTGGTGCCCCTCAGTCTCAACCCACTGCCCCTTGCCCCCTCAACCCCACCCGTGCCATGCCCGTCACTCCTGACCCGCAGCCCCGCCCCAGTGCCCTGCTGTCCCTCCCCAGCTCCCCCTGCGTGCTACAGCCCCATCCTGCCCTGGCCCCCACCCCAGCCCCCTGCCAGCCCAGGGAATCCCGGAGTCTGGGGCAAGGGCTCACTTGGCCTGGGCCTTGCCGGGGGTCAGCGAGGGGCCACGAGGCCAGGGGAGTTGAGCAGGGCCCTGGCAGGGCGGCACCCCAGGAACTGCCCCTCCCCTGCGCTCCCCACATCCTGTGCGAGCCTCCCCCCCCAAAGTTGCATTTCCCTCCATGGGCATAGAAAAGAGGGAAGAGGAAGTTGTGTGTGCATGTGGGGGGGAGGCTCCTATATGAGACCAGGGCTGGCAGTGGGGAGCTGCAGGGTAGGCAGGGGGCTGTGGGTCGGGAGTGAGGGGCACTGGTAAGGCTGGGCAGGGCAGGGGGCTGTGGGTTTGGAGTGAGGGGCAGGGGTGGGGCTCGGGGCAGCTGTGGCACATGTGTGTTCATGCCTAGACCCCCCACTCACCTCCGGGGCACAGACCCCCTGGCCCCCCTCATCCCCCTGC